AAGCAGGCTTTGGACCGCTGCACCGTTAGTGGCAACCCACCGACAGAGACGAAAGACACAATATTACGGGATGATTGCGTGCGCTGGGCGGAGTCTGAACGCTTGCCCCAAGGGTTAAAGGGTTTCCAAACATTTTGCTTACCCTTGAAACGTAAGTCTTGGTGGAGAGTAGGAGAGGGTCGCCAATATTACGAATTATATAACCCAAACGGGGTTGGTTGGTTGCCGCTGAAATGTGACGCTCCTTTTGGAGCAAGCACGATTACCCACCTGCGACCGGCGAAGTCCCGTGTTAACATTCAGCAACCAACTTTAACTAACTACCTATTCGGTAGAAGCCAAGACAGAGCTGATGGGCATGGTGTACGTACTACTTGTAAGTGACTGAGTCAGAGGCTAATGATCTAAAGTGATGAGGTGGGGTTTATCTAGTGTTGTGATTCATATAATTCGTAAATGTCTGGAAAGGTGGCTGGGGGTGGTTTCAACACATCTGAGAGGGAAATATTTAGAGTCTCTAGCCATCATGCATGCATGCATGCATTTGCATTAGCACCAACCCTGCTGCCAGATACTACTAGGTAGGCTGACAACCCTAAATGGTCTACGTAGTACGGAGTACTCCGTGCATGCATCCCTATCTGGTTCTGCGCATTAAACTCGCTGGTTATGGTCTCGGGTGACCGATTGACTAATTGATGATCTGGATGGCTGACCGACAGATTAATGTCCCGTTAGTTGAGTATGGACTAGGATGAGCAGATAAACAAGAAGGCTAATAACGCCATCTCGCTACACCGTGCATGGTTCATGATAAACGAGGCCAAAACAGAGGCTATTACTACGATGAGTAAACATCTAACTTATACTAGTACTTACCTATTAGCTGGTGCCCACGGATATTATTATTTAGTTGGTAGGTACCGGAGATGCTGTAATAGGAGCATCATACACCCAGTTGTTTGTAATCAATACCTAATACATCAAGTGCTGTACAACCTAGCGAAAACTCCTGTCTGATAGCTGCGAAAAAAATACCCTGCGACGTCGAAGGCAGATATGACAAGTCGCCTTGCCAAAAGCAATACATCAAGATCAGCAGTGCTAGTTTCACGCAATGGCACGGTGAGAACCGACCAATGCGTTAATGGATTGGGATTGAGAACAAGAGTTGGTCATAACTTTAGATGCAGCCTTTGTGGTCGCACGCTACTGCACCCTATCTCATTGTGTATATAGCTGAAAGAGAAGAGGGGGGGGGGGGGGTAAGGGAGGAACTTCACTCATCGGAGCCAAGACAGACACCAAGGGGTGGGTTATTCACTCGGCTGCGTTTCGGTGGAGACAAGTTCAAATGATGCCATTGAAACACCTTTTTTTTTTTTTTGGGACAGGCCTCGGCCGGACTACCACTACGGTATCACACAGCACCACACACGCCCATCATGTGATCGGCACGGCACCGAAACCCTTTTCAATCATGAATTGCAACTTTTCCCCCTCGCACTAGACGCTGGTCAATGGGTTCCTGTCGGCACTCCGAGTCGCACCATGTATCACGTCGGGTTCTCTCAACACCAAACGATAACTACCTGGATGATCATTATATTCGACTGTATGACAGACTACTGCAAACACGTCGCGAGTATACCGTCATTTCTGACCTTTGATTGGATATTGTGGCACATTCACCGCGCAATGGCTCGCTGAAGGACGAGGGACGCATAGACTAGGCAGATTCTCCGGTGATAATCCGCATCATGAACTACACATGCCACGTATGACACATGTCTCATATCAAAGCCGTGTGGAATGTTTATGTGGATAGCAACGAGATGAGGGCGTGTTGATTGGGACAAAACGTAACCTAGATTTATCGCGCAAAGTTAAAAGGCTGGCTCAGCAGTTCATGTAACTACGGTAGTTTGCGGGGTACAAAATGAAAATGCATCAACAAACCACAAACAGAACTGAATAACTAAGCAAAAGAAGATAGGTATTTCCATATTTGGCTTACGATAAATCCTAGCTGAGTAGGACAGACGCGTATTTCGAGAATCTGATGACGAGGCGGGTGACGAAGACGAAGGTCGCCAGATTAAATATCACAACCCAATTTTGTTTCACATCCACAAACGACAATAACATCAGGAGTAAAAACTCATACTGTCCCCGGTTGTACCACGAGGCTAATGTTATGGACTGATTTTGTGAGTTATTCGGGCTAACTTCACTGCAATCTAGTATGGTGCTCTCGTGATAAGGATCTCAGTGCAAGCTCACCAGCAAGGCAAGGGATTCTATAGTACTAAATGCCGGGTGTTAAGGTTAAATGCTGAACAATCATTTCAAATGAATATGCTGTATAGGTAAGAGATGAGTCATCAAGGTACTTGAAACCCACTGAGAGGGAGGGGATCGACTATACTATGACCAGGATGTTCACAAAGTTTAACGTTAAACAGGCCATTTAGCGTTCAGATGTCTTGAACCAATCAATAGAGTGGTATTAGAATAAATAAAGCAAACGGGCGGCGCTCGTTTTAGTTCTCCGCGGGCGGGAGTGGCAAGAGGCGAATACCGAGTATCCTGCACCCCAGAATCTCGCAGAGCCGCCATCCGCAGGTAACTTGTATCGTGGGTAGGCTAGAGCAGGCGATGACCAGGTCCAAAGCAGGGAAGTGGCTCGTAATGGACTCAACACTTCAACCTGAAGTCAACCGCCGCCCCCCAGTCTTAGCTCTACTGTCACCGAAGTCCACCACCTATCAATGACTAAGCGAAACAGAGCGTTCTACATTTTATACCTATTAACTAACCGTTATGTAGTAACATATTGACATTTCCTACTGGTCTATCCGGTTCACTGCCCAAAATATATCGGCTAGTAGAAATCAGGATATACACCGTACACATCACGGCGGGCTGTTCAAAATAGTAATTACTGGAAATTTGGGGTCATAAGCACATCTCACGAAGACGAGAGAGCCATCATATCTATTTCCCCCTTCCTCTTCCTCTTCCTCTTCCTCTTCCGCGCCCCCTCGCCCCCCGCCCGCCCCTCTTCGCACTGGGGCGCGTATTCGCCTTCTCATAGAGCAATTCCTCACCGAACGCCATCTCGCCAAACCTCATGTAACTAGTCAATCCGCGGTCCACGACCGCCAGGATAGCACTTCGCCACCCGTGCTTGAGGCGCTTATATACGAATCCCGCACCGGGTTTTCCGCCGTCTGGATCTGGCGGGTCCCAGGGCGTGGACAGGAGCAGATCACCTAGCTGCTCGAGCGTCGGGACGCTGGAGTCGCGGGCGTCTACGACGGCCATCCGGAAGTCGGGTGGTGATGGCCTCGTCTTCATAAACGGCGATGTGCTCTTCCAGATGTGAAAATGGATCTTGAAGGGCTCTTGGGGTTGGGGTATTTCCAATGTTGGTAGCGGAGTGGGCTTGTGGCGCTGTATGAGGGCTAGTTGCTCGAAGATGGGTAAATATGAGCGATACAGACCTGGTCTTACGAGAGGTCCATATCCCGAAGAGGCGGAGTGTAAATAAAAAGGGCTGCTCGCGTTGTGTAAGAGCGACAAGAGCCATTGCCAAAGAGGCCCTGGGGGTTGTGATGAGGGTGACTGAAGCGGAAACGGCGCCGCTCGTAAGACTCTGTAACCCGTGCGCCTCAGATTGGCGTAAACCTGATATTTCTCGAGGCTGATCTTTCCTCTTTCCCCATCTCGCCCAATAAAGAGCGCGTACGCGGCCTGCAGGCTCAGAGGGACACCAAGCTCGTAGTCCTCGAGCTTATCCGGCTTCTCCGGCGACGCACCGGGGTTCTCATCCTCTGGAAAGATCTCCTCGATCCCTCGTACCGGCCACCATAAATCCAGCGTCCCTCTCTCTATCAGGAACAGGGCTTCTTCGGGTAACAGCCACGTTTTAAGCCATCCGGGGCTGGATTTCTCGGCGCTCGTAACAACACGTCCCGTCGAGGACAGCATGGTGCTCTTATCCGACTCGAGCGCAACGACTCGCTCCCTAGCAAAGAGGCCCCAGCCAGAGCCCCGGCTCTTCGTCGTCCGATCGGCGGCGACATCATTTATCGATCCAGTTTCGGGGGGCATGTCGGCCCATCGGTCGGGGAAATACCAGCCGCGCAGAGCATTGCGGGGTTGATGTTGACGCGTGTAACTCAAGACCTCATGCATGGCCGAACGGCTTGACTCGAGAACGCTCTCCTGCGCGCGCGTCCCATGCGACTCGAAGTCCTTCTCGCCGCGCCGTATGGCTTTGCTGGAAGCCTGTGACTTCTTTCCCGGCCCTGCGAGGAGTGAAGTGAAGAGCCGGAAGTCTTGGGCTTGGTCGCCGTCTTCGGCGTCGAAGGGCGCATCGTCGCTGACAGGATCGAGCGACGTGGGAGCCAGGTCTTCGTCATCATACGCCATCTCTGCGGCCGAGGAAGGGTCGAGGAGGTTGTGGGGGGAGTCAATTCGGCAGTGGTTTTCTATCCTCGATGGATGGCGTCGTTAAGCCTCTCCGCTCTGTCCCTTATTCCCTCGAGCCTGGTTCAGAGCATCGTGTACATATTGTGCATATTCGACGTTGTCATGGGTCTGATGGTGAAGAAAGGTCAAAACGGGAATCCCGGAGGGCCGGGAGATGCTTAAGTCCCTGCAGGGACAGCATGCAGTATCGCCGCCCGCTAAGACGTAGGTACCGGCAGTACGTTCATGTACCGGAGCAATGTACCGCACCCCACTATCTGGTAGATACTTAATATAGGTAGGCGGTGACGTACCTACACCTATCTACAGGGTTTTATCAGCTGTGCTGTCGTTAATATTCAGAAGGAGAGAAAAAAGAAGTGGAAAAGAAAAAATAGAAAATTTATGAATCCGGTTTAAACAGGCCGGGTACCTTGAATACCTAACTGTAGCTTAGCTACCTTAAGTATCCACGCCGAATGGGAGCACACACAGGTAGCCTTCAAAAGGCCAAAAAGAATAGTTGAGAGCTGCAGGATTCGAACCTGCGCGGTTTCCCACTGCGGGTTTATGGTATACCAGGTTGACCCAGGCATGACCTAAACACAGCGCCTTAACCACTCGGCCAAACTCCCAATTTGATGACAGTTCGGGTCATAGTATAGTACATGTCGACTAATTTCTTACTGGAAAGGACCCGGGACCGCTGCTGCACTAGACAGAAGTGCCTCGGCTTGTTGCCTGCTATGTACGCCCACTACATTCCCAGTACAGGCCATTGCGTCTCGACTCTTCAAACGCGTCACGGGGTTATTGGTAGACAAGAGGAATGCCCTGGATCAAGTCTAATTATTGTCAATTCAACTAGGTAGTTAGTCTCGCGGACGCGCAGGTATCGTCAAACCCGGACAAATACTTGCGCGCAACGCGGAACCCGGTCTTCATAGACTCGCTAGGGGTATCGCCTCGGTATGACTACAGCAACACATTCTCTTGCCTGGTGCACCAGGTATAGTCCTTGTCCCGTAATCTCTTCAATGAGTGCCCCCGTGTAGCGCCAAAACGCCTCCAGCCATGAGCGTCGTCAGATACACCACGCCAAGAAAGCCACCTCATCCCGAATTACGCCAGCACAGCGGGCTATGCATATTCGCTCGTTGGTCGCTCTAGGAAGCGCAGATGCCAGAGACCGCTGCCCCCCTCATCAATACACCAGAACGCCGATGCACTTTTGTCTTTTCAATAATATGCTTCTTTCCCTTCCATTGTCCCCAGAGTACCCAGGCCTGTAGGCCGAGCCACCCCGACGCGCTTTCGGAGACTGGGAGGGGCCAATAAGAGCCAACATCGTTGCTTCGTTAGCTCTAGTCCTACAGCCATTCTCTCCCCTTCGCCCTTTATTTCAGCCGCGATATTGAGAACATGACCATAGACCCCTCAAACCGTCATGTTCCCAACAACGTTAGCGCCGGGTGCCTGTCCAGAAAGCTAGCAAGCTTCTGTGACCGGGACTATTCGCATAACCGAGCAGATACACCACAGCCAATACAACAGGGGTTAAGTAGCACCATACTCCAAATATTGGGCGTGGGCATGTAACACAGAATCGCGTGGCGATATCGTCTGTGATGGGGAAAAGGCATTTTCATTCCTCGGTCGGGCTGGCACTGGTATATTCGGAGGGGCGAAAGCATTACCACCCTGGTTGTTGGCGCGTTGTGGAGTAGCCAGTTGGTTGCCGCAATGACCATTCCCTGCAGATAGACTGCTACTCATCGCTCATCAAAGCTTTCTCCTTTCTTGTTGTATATCGTTTCGTGACACTGCGCTCAATTATTATTTATTCGATTAGGGGCTTCTTCTGGCCCGCTACTAGACACAGCCCTAATGTTGCTAGGGCTCTAGAATCGTTAGCTAACACTATGTTCCGAGCTGGTAACATAGGATTGGTCTGGTCCACAACCGAAGCATCTTTCGCTGCTTGCTCAATGGCATCCATCTCCTCTTTGCAGGCCTGATGATCTAGGGGGCAAATCACGATAGGTTGCCGAAGAGTAATGTCTCTAGCTGACGTCAGGCTCGCCTTCGAAATGACTTTGTTAGCAGACATATCCGTATATAGCCTCTTGGGGGAACCCCCAAAACCCATGATGACGCATGCTTACCTTAACGCTCAGGAAGAATTCTATCTTGTATAGAGTTGACGTCGTCGTGAAGGAGGTAACCTCGTAATTAGGAAACGCTGGCTGCCCTCTCCGAACGATACCGTTCGAATCCCGCAAGTCCTTATGTGGAAATATGACACCCATGTTGGTCACATAGCCCTCTTCGGGCAACTTCATGCCTACAGTTTGGACGTGTTTCTGTATCCGATTAACCTTCTTTGTTGGCTCGTCGCCCTCCGGATTGTATGTTATTTCCTCCTCGATAGCTAATGTAATGCTTTTTATTGTGACCTTCTTCGCCTTGGCCATCCAATCCAAATTTGGAGCTATCTTTATGTAGACGGTGATGGGATCCATAGGGCCATAACTCCATTTCGGTAATGATATAACAAGCGATACAATGTTGTCGGTGGTGGCAACTTTAGTTTCCGGGCGATTGTACATGCCAAAGGTCGATAAAGTGTCGTATCGCTGCAAGGGTACGGGGAATGCGTATTTGTTCTGTACGCTCGAGCCTTGCTGCACCGTGACAACCAATTCGTAGTATGTTTCGGCAGTCCTACTTGGAAGTTGCAACGATGCCGGCGGTATCTTCCTATTCGTCTCTTCACCGCCCCGCCCGAAGGGTATAAACAGGACAAAGGGCAGGTCCATGGCGATAACATTGTCCGCCTCTTTACCAGATACGCATCGATATAATAAAAGCTCCCTGCCAACGACGTCCGTTGTCTCCCGTCGAGGGGTACCGAGATGCCGTTTAGCCATGTTTTCCGCGGCGGGGTGGATCGTCTCTCTTCGCTGTAGGCATATTCGGACGAGGGAGATGGCGACGGGTGCAGAAAAGCCTTGTTGTGGACGAATTTCGACTTTGCCCTCAACACGCGGCTAGGAACCTCTATTAGCCCAACCGTCCCTTTCCACACTGCCTCTAAGACATGAAGTGTGAAGTGGAGTAGAGATGAAGAGCGCGCGGCGACCACACTGTGCGCCAACACACCGCACTCCTTCAGGGTATTATGCAGACAGAAAGCAAGGGCAAAACAATGCGACGACGGCGTAGCCCCTCCAGTCTAGACCATGATAGCCAGGGTGCATGGACTCACCAATGTCGCCGAAATTCCCGGGTACCCAACCAAGAAGCTACTATTTGGCGGGCCCGAAACACGGACGAAGGCGGCCACTCGATCCGTCATGTTTCGTTGTTTGGATAGCCGTCATGAAGGTGGCGATACTGGCGGATATGGATTGGCGGGGTTAGGATTCAGTGGCGGCAACAACAGCGGCGCAGTGTCCGCCGCATCTATTCTGCGACTACGGCCGTGCGCCGGGGCCGGCTGGTAGGACGGCGAAGGTCGAATCGTCAATGTTGGGGCGGTCGGCTCGGTGACAATTCACACGTCGGCGAGTCGGTGTTCGGGGCGGTGCGGCGACGGCGGGCGACGGCGGGCGACCGGTGCGGATATCGAAAGACGGGGGGGTTCTGTTTATCACAGTCGCCGGGAGACAGACTCTGAGGGGAGAGCGGGGGGTAGAAGGAAGCCAGGCTGCGATCCTGCACGCAGCACCCAAGATGGCAGGCTATACTTTGTCGCTGGGCGGCGTATAATAGGTGAAGAGGGTGACGAGGGTGACGGCGAGCAGGGCGAGAGCGGCGGACACGGAAATGGGGAGAGTGCTCGATTGACGGGTTGAGATGTGCAAGTAAGTGGTGGACGAGAGATGCGACAAACTGAGGGTACCCCCCCCCTGTTTACCTGAGAGATCCGTGCACGCTGGAGGTATTCGCGGTCCACCCGATACAATATTTAGTTTGTATTACACAATTCGTACATATAATCTCCGTTAAACAATATGTTAGCCTATTCAAGTAGCCTATGTAGCTACACAGGAAATAGGGCTAATAGGGTGGCTAGTACAGCTACAAGTATAGCTAGTGCGGGCCCCACGGGTGGCTAATAAGGTGGCTAATAAGGTAGCTAATAGGGTGGCTAGTAGGGTGGCTAGTAGGGTAGCTAGTAGGGTGGCTAATAGGGTGGCTAGTGGGGTGGCTAGTGTAGCCATCGGTACAGCCGGTGCGGGCCCCACAGCTTATAGCAGCCAACCAAATAAGGGTAATTAAACCTGCCGGTATTAAATCCATTATACTAAGTACATTACAAAAGTAGCATATATATGTATCGAGTGGGCCGCAGATACTTCCAGAATGCACGGATCTCTCAGGTTAGCAGGGGGGGGGTACCCTCAGTTTATCTGTATGCTCGTGGTGGACTGAGATTCAGTTTAGCGTACGGAGTATCTACCTACCTAACTAGGTATGTAAAGTACTTCGTAGTACGGTGCCTAGTCCTTAAGGCTGCAAACTTACTTGGTACATAGAGGTAGATGGAGCCAGGGCAAGGTTAGCCAGGGGGGGGCTGCTGGCAGGATGGGTGCAGGATGGCAGGATGGGGCATCCCGAGTGGCCCATAGATCAGAAGTCGGGGCGGACTTAGTGGCCGCTGAGTGTGACCGGGTGGGTTAAGGTTTTAGATAGTGTTAAGAGGTACCTTACCAGGTCAGTGCACCTATCAGCGCTGTGGCCAGCAAGGTCACCATCACTGCGTCTCAGGGTGCTTCACGACAAGCCTGTCAGTTTTCTATAGCCGGACTAGGTTAATACAGAGTAGATGTAGGCACTACTGGTAGGAGGTACCTTAAGCTATCTAGAAGCCGTGTGCAGCAGAAGCAAAGAAGGTACTAGTATGCCTAGCGGCTTAGAGGTAGTGCTACCTTGTGTGTAGTGGCAGAGTGATATAAGACGAAGGGCTGTCTGGCTGGTCATTATCTACACCTGGGCACCCAGGCAAGGTCTGTCACGTCGTACCTAATCATATAGTACGGGCTACGGGCGTCGAACGACAGATCGTTTGGTGCTCCGTACTCCGAGTGCTTATCAGACTTGATAGGCTATCTAACAGGTAGTTAACGGTAGTTGTTCCCGTGGTCAGGTGTCTGGCCAGAAAGCTGAGTGAGATGCATAAGGATAACAACGAAAGCTGAGCTTGGGCTTGACCGAGCGTTTGGTCCTGTGACCGGCCGAAAGCCATACATATTGTAGACTCTGCTGGACCATTTGAAGCCCCAATCAACGGGCCCCTGCCCGTGAGAAACGCTGTCTCTCGTCGATCTCCTATTGACTCGCGGACGTAACCCTTTGGCGCCCTCACACGTGGAACTGGGGGCTTGTGGACCTTCATCCTCACCCTCCTCACCCTCCTTCTGCTCACACTGTATATACTTGTTAGGCGAGCCCCCAATTCTGGCCTAGCCCGAATAGACAAGGTCTCGGTAGGACTTTTGGAGGTTTCAGGGACAAGGGACCAAAGCTGACCTCTGCATGGAAACAGGGTTGACACAAGACACAGTCGGCGGAAACCCAAATAGGGCTGACTTGGCAGATCCTGTTGCCCGACGATCAGAGATCAAAGAGG